AAAAAAAAAAAAAAAAGCCCTAAATGAACACACCACCCAGCCAGAAAGCACACCCTGCTTTGTGGGAGCTCTAAAAGGTAGTGGCTGGGGAGGAAGGTGATCAATTAAGACATTAAGCATTTTGCACCACATGGGCACATCTGCATGGCAGCCCAATAATAAGGCCATCAGCTCATTTTCAGGGGGCTGTTGCCTACTTCAACTCAATCCTCAGATCAAAGAGAAACTGTCTGCTTGCATTTTCTAATCAGAAAAGGGATGCTAATTTAGGTTCCTTAATGTGTGGTGATAGGAGACTTCTTCAATTAACCGAATTCTATAGCTCAGAAAATAAAACAGGAGGATACAAAGGGAGTCAGGCTGGAAAGGCAGAAGTTCTCATTAAATCAAAGGTCCAATATTCATTACCTCCAGCATCTGGGGCTAAACACTAAACATGGAGATCATCAAAGGGGGTTTAATGGGTTAAATTGAGAATATAATCTAATTAAAATATTAGGTACGAGTAAATAGCTCTTTGATATTCATCTGAAGGTTTCATTAAAACAGGCACTTGAGGCTTGTATGAAGGGGGGATTATCACTTTTAAGCAGAAACAACAAGTTGAGGTTCCCTAATCAGAAATGCTTCGAAGTGTTGCCATTTGGTTTGAAAAGAAAAGGAGGAAAGCAGTGACTGGCAGAGGATGGAATCATTCAGTATGGATGGATGGATGGATGGATGGATGGAACTAACTACTGCAACTACTTGTTGCAAAGTTGACAGCAAGTCCTTGTAGCAAAGTTGATAGTAAAGTCAAAGAACAGAGAAAAACATATTTAAACTACTAGATATGCAAATGTTCCATTTATTTCAAAACAGCTAGAGTAAAACCTACTCTCAAATGTACCAATGATTAAACTTAAGCCACTTTATATTTCAGTTTAGAATTATTCATTTCACTCAACTGGTGAATCACCATGGGAAGGTCATAGCACATAATTAAATACTTCAGACATTTTTTTTTTTTTTTTGCCTCAAAGATATCCCTTATATTTCCAAAACACCTATAGGATGTGAAGGGCTTTCAATGTAGCCACAATTTGCTTCTCCTGCTCATGTCTATGCTGCAGAGTTTCCAGGACTGGAATTTCAGGTAACCTGGTTCCATTCAGAGTCTGTGGCAGAGCTGTTTCCTCTTTGTCCCATTGGCTTTTCGTGCAAATCTTTGGTTTAGGAATCTTCTTAGCATATTCCAGTGCCTAAAACCATGAAAATTTGAGGTAACTGATGAGGAGGAAACCTGAGCAATATTTCCAATGGAATTTAGGTGGGTTTTTGTTGAGTCGTATTAATACATCTCCTAATTCCTGCTCTTGTTTCTGGCACAACTCAAGACTAGATGCTCCAGTGGTGACTGCAAATAACTCACCTCAAGTTGGTTTGTTATCTGACAACTCTGGAGATCTGACAGCACTTTAAATAGTGATTTCTCTTTCAAAAAGCCAAAGCAACAGGAGTTTATTGAGTTACAAACTCTGCAGTGGTGTTGTCTCAGCAGAGCACTGGGTGATGCTCCTAAGGGGATTCACTTCTCCTTTGTTCCCACCCTGCCCAGGAAAACATCTCTAGCTCTTTAAGCCAAGTGGAGTGTTGGGAGCTTGGATGAAGAGTTGCCAACAGGAATATCAACATAGTGTTGGGAGCTTGGATGAAGAGTTGCTAACAGGAAAATCAACACGGAGAAGGATTTTTAGCCTACTCTGAGTTCCATTTATGCCTTTCCATTGTGCAAAGCCCAGAACCTCTCCCTGGGTTTAAAGTTACTCTGTCCTTACCTTCTGTCTTGACACTAAAGGTATGACCTGAGGCTTTGTAGGCAACCTCTGAACAAAAGGAATATTTTTCATATTGTATTCCTTAATTTTCCTTGAGTATTCCTTTTGTAGATTTAACTTCTCTTTCTGAAAGAAGGAAAAAAGGGCATGTAATGAAATGTCTCAGTGGATCCAGCAAGGAAACACTTCTTTTCCACCAGAGTCTTCCATTTACACCTCTGTGGTGTCTAACCTGGATCATTGCTCAGCAAACACAACAGGAACCCCTGAAAAATGGCACAGCTTTCGTTAGCTGCTCTTCATCTTTAAGAGCTTTTCTTTGGCCTGTGTGGAGGACAGAGCTCCACAGCAATGTGACAGGGACAGCTTTGTTGTGGATGTTCTGAACATTTCAGCAGGGTAACTTGCATCCAGCTCTTTCCTTCTTGTGTTTACACAACTGCTTTGACTTCCATGTTGAAGGCTTGGACAGACCTTCTACACTGGGAGTGATCATACAATTCAGTCATGAGTGTATAATCTACTGCTGTACAATTAGCTCTGGAAAACCTTGTGAACTACTCCCTGTTGCTGGAACTACAAAATGAGAAAGTTAAAATGATCCCTAGTTGTCCTCCCTTCTGTTTGAATTTCCCTTTAGGATCTCAAGCTAGACCTAGAGCCAAGGACATAAAGCATCAGATGAACACAAGTTGTTTCTCAGCAGTGATTTCTTTGCCATTCTCCCCTGCTTAAGTTCACTTCACACAACTGAGAGGACAACAGAGACTCCTTACTTTCTCTTTGATTGCTTCATAGTCAGGTCCAAGGCCTCCAAGACTCACATTCAGGTCTTTGTAGAGTTTTGAGCTGTGCAGCTGGAAAACAAACAGCAGTGAGAGATTTGCCTTTATATGATCTCACAGAGAGCATAGCTAAACCAAGTCTGGGAGTGACCAAGCAAGTTCAGAGCAGGATTCACCTTGCAGGCTCACTCTTACCCCTGGTGTGTCTCATTTGAAGGAAGTGACCAACCAGACCAAATTAATGGCATAAGTCAAATGACATTGAGGTTGGAATGGAGCTTAGAGATGAGCCAGTGCCCTGGGCAGGGACACCTCCCACCAGAGCTCAAGGCTCATCCAACCTGGCTGTGAACACTGCCAGGGTTGGGGCAGCTAAAACCTCCCTGGGCAACCTGTGCCAGTGTCTCACCACCCTCATGGGGAAAAACTTCCTAATATCTATCCTAAATTTCCCTTCCTTCAATTTGTATCCATTGCTCCTTGTCCTGTCTCTACAGTCATTTCAACCACAGAGCAATGCAGCGACCCCAAGACACTTCTATATCCAAAGAAAATGTACTTTTCTTCAAAACTCATGTTCAAGCTAAACTGAGCTGCAGAGAAACTCCTTCCATGCACTGAGTTTTCCCTCTGAGGTTTCTTCGTGTCAGTTCTCTCTCTTATTTTCTAATATAACTTCCTAAATTTTCATTTTAGGCCCTGTGAGAAGTTAATCATTTAGATGTACAGCAAAATCAGTGTTCTCTCACTTTTTGGGATGAGTATGTTTGTAACTGTATGTAGTAATTTTACTGTAGAATAGTATATTATACTACTGTGTATTATAGATAGTAGTCTATTATAGGTATTATTCTAGATATATCATATATTGCTACTGCATGTTGTATATTATGCAGTAAATAAACTGCATTTACTTATAGGAAAAGCTGATTTTTCTGTGGGACACAACCAGCTTTATTCCCTGTGACATTCCTCACATAGGATGCGTGAGAAAGCTCCTGAAAAAATACAGGAGGGAAACAAAAGTTTGAGCTCAGGGAGACAGAAAGGGAAGGAAATCTGCCCTTCAGTTCCTATCCTAATCCTGCTAATTCTTCTTAGAGGCATCCAAGCAGCAATACACAAACTGCCTCCCAGATGAAACACAGGAGGAATTATTCCAGCTTAGTTTGTCTGCCCTGAGACTCGAAAGGAACTTGTTAAACGTTTAATTTGCCATGGGCAGCTCTGTGCTGTGCCACTGCAGCCCTGTTAGCTGCTTACACTGGTGCAACTGGACACACAGGGCAGACAAAGAGCTCCAAATTTTAATAAGGGCCCAAATGGGATCATCAGGAGGGTTGGAATAATGTTTATGCAGTTAGCTTCACAAATCCTCTAAGTTGGTTGTTGTGCTGTGTTTGAAGGCCTTGGAAACCAGGAGATTTGAGCTGGGCAACAAATGAGCATGACCAGGCTAATGGTTGGCTCAGCCCTGAGCTCAGACTACCTGCTGCTTCAGCAAAGAGCTGCTCCAAACAGCTCCAGCACTGGATAACCTGCAGGACAAACACTGCTCTGTGTGTTTTGGGGGCAGATTAGACTCGGTGGCACAAGGAGAGGTGATGGATTGAGTTGTTCCTTGGACTGAAATGGTTTTAATATCAGTTTCTACCTTTGCTCCTTGATTTTTAATCCTCTGGTTGTGTCCATGTGCTTTCTGGGATGATGAAATGTTTCTCAGTCCTCATTACATTTTTTTTTTTGTAGTTATTAAGGCAAAAATATGAATCAGAGAAGGAATAAAAATGTAAACCCTCCAACCCACACCTCTTGCCTTACCTTCTTGCTGACTTTAGGTTGGTGTTGCTTTCCTATCTGCATGAGATTTCCTTTGGAGTTGCTTTGGTTTATTTTCCCTGGATTTTCTTCACCTCTTCCTGGGTCTATCTGTGAAGAATTTTGCTCCTGGGAGTTCCCAGGTGGAAATGGATTGAGCAGGCACCTGTAAACTAAGGGAGCTCCTGCCCAAGGACAGATTCCTTGGGGATGTGTAAATTGGGAAGTTGCACAAGGAGCTGTTAGTGAGCTGTGAACAAAGGATTGAGAAGGATTTAACCAGTGAGAGAGGAAAGAGTAGGATTATCTATTATACACAAGCAACACTTCCATGGAATACACTGGGAACAAGGACACATGGAGATTTCACCATGACTGACTTTGCTTGCATCCAAATGTATAGAAACTGCTTGAAATTAAACTGTTACAAATTATAGATGGGGAAAACTTTGAGCCTGATACAAAACTCCCCTAAGTCAATGAAAACTGTCTTTAAACATCTTTGGATCAGGCTAGAGAAGCACTGACAGAATGAACTATCTATCTGCAATAAACCTTCATTTTTGTAACAAGGCAGGTGGAATTTTACACAGCTAAGGATTTTCTGCTCATTCAGAACTGACACTGGGCTGACTCTGGATATTCACCCTGCAAGGACACTTTGCTCCAGCTCATGCACAATGCTCTTTCCTAGCTATGCTTTAAACTCTTCTTTTAGCCTTTCAGAAGGAAACTTTGGATTGTGGAAAATTCTATGCTTGGAGTACAGAACTGTCCTTTGCCCATGTCAGATTTAAAAATAATAGCTGTAATGAATCTTTAATTACTAGTAATAGATAAATGAGTATATTATATATCTATTACTATAGTGGCAGGTTTGTAACCAAATAACTTTATCCTTTGGACTTTGAAAAGTTTTCTTGTCCATTGCTCTGTTTTCTGGGCATCATAGTAATATGCTAATCCTGTTTCAACACTTATATTCTTACCATAAACTACTGATAGTTTTGCTAGTTAGAACTCCTGAGAGTTCTGATACCTTTTATCCTCATCAATGTGTGTTCTGCACTCCTGAAAATTGGCATTAAAAGTAGATGGAATATTCCTCTGGCTTGGCTGTGCTTGGCCATGGGTCTTGGCATCTCTTGCAAAATGCTGCCCAGGGATGTGGCTGTGTAAATGCTGTTGGTTGTTTAGGGCATCATGCTGATAATTCTTGTTCTCCTTGCTGGTATATGCTGGAACTGGAACCTCTGCTGGGATACAGGTATGGCAGGTTGGGTGAAAAGGATAGGGAGATATGATAAAGTCTTGGCTAACAAAATATCCTGAAGTGGGGAAGCTATTTAAGCAAGTATTTGGTTTTGCTGCTGTATGAGTGTTGGGGCCAACAGCAGAAGTTGGACACAGACATTCCTGCAGTGCTCTGCTCTTGTCTTGCTCCACTGCAGTGGGAGCAGCCTGAGATCCTGATGTGTGGTGGTGACTGTGCTGCCAAGGCTCTGGATCTGCTGGTCTTCCTGGTGCTTCTTGGCTCTCATTCCTTGGGAAAGCTCTTCCTTTGAGATCCTGGTTGGATGTGACTTTATTTCTCTGGAAGAACTGATTGTGCTGACCCTGAAACAAGTCATCAAATTGGGGTGAGTTTCAGTGGTTGATGATCAACTATATACAAGGCAACATGAGTTTGGTTAGACCCACTAAAATCACACTTGTGTCTAACTCTGACTCAGAAAGTGATGCTCAGGACCAGACAACATCCAGAATTAGGATATTTAGGAGCCCTTAGCCAAGAAGAGCAGCACAGATGGAATTTAGGTGCTGTTCAGATACAATTCTGCATCAAAACTTTGCTTAATGGTCTGAGACAAATTCTGAAGCACTTCCCTATCAAAGTGGATCCTTAATGCTGCAGAGCACATCTAGGGAATGATGTTATGGTAAATATGGAATGAGGGAGTTCTATCTGCATGAGGTGCAGCAATAGGTGTCCTTAAACTCCCAGGACTGTTTCTAACCCTGTAGACAAGTGACAACTCACTGTCAACCACCTGGAGAAAAATATTTCAGAAGTCAAACTACTTCTTGGGTTTTATCCTCCAATGAAAGTGAACTGTACCAATTTTAGGGCAAGATGGTTATGCACACACTACTGCACTGGTCCACAGTAGAAACAGACTGATGTCAATGGTTCACATGATTCTATTTTCAAACCAAACTCTACACTCTGCCCTGTGTCCTGCAAAACATTATCCAGGTGACAAGAAATAATTGAAGACTTTCAGCACACCAGGACTACTGTTCTGAGCTAAACTGCCATGATTTAAATCTGGAGTTTAGCTAAGCTTTAGCAATTTTCAATTCTAGCATCAGGTGTTGCCTACTTTGAGGAAAAAGCCATGGCTTTCCTTCTGGGGAATACACAAATCTCATTTAATCTTTGTCAGAGCTAAAATCCTCCATTTCATCCTCCTGTCTCTCTCTAGGGCTCTTTTGTTAGCAACATTTGCAATCACTACTGTGGCACAGAACAACTACTTAACGGTAGGTATTAAATCCACATCTCCACCAGGATGGTTTGGGGAAAGCTTTAGCACTGGAGAATCCTGGAGCCAAGAGGATGATTTGTTAGCTTGACCTCTGCTGTAAGGATTAATGTTCTGGCTCACTGTACCACTGGTGGAAAGTAGGAGCTGCTGCCAAGCTGGGACCAGGCCAGTGTTTTGCCATTTTAGTGGAATGACAGCCTTGTAAAATACCTAATTCCTTCTGAAATTCCATATAAGAAGTAAATCTCTGGCAAAGAACAGCAGCAGAAATTGTGTGTGCTTTACAGGAGTGCAGGGTCCAGTCTGACTGAACAGCTGGGAAGGAAAACAGTACCTGAACTGCTTCAAACACTTGTGCTACAGAGAGAGTACCAAAAATATTGGTGTTGGTTTGCCAACTGGTGTTGGTTTGCCAAGAGGAATCCCAGTTGGCTTGGAGTTCTGGGTCTGAAGTTCTTGGTGTTTCATCAGTGCTGATAACCTGATCTCTTTCTTGCTCCAAGGACTGAACAATGGGTTCATTGCAGTGTTTTAAAGAACCAGCAAAACCAGATTTAGGAGGACAGAGGTGAGTGCAACTCGTACCATTTTCTGCTTTATGGTGACCCCTTGATGCTCACAGGGATTTTAGGGGACAAATAAGGCAGAAGTAGTTGAGTTCTAGCTCTGCACAGGACACCCCTGAGAGTCACATCATGTGCCTGAGATATAAAAATATATATATATGTATGTCTGTATAAGCTACATATAACTGTATATATACCTATAGGCTGTAATCTCATTGCTTTTAAGGCACTGATCACTGACAAATCCTTAAATAAAGACATAGATACTCATTTATTTAAGGATTTATTGTCAGTGATCAGCACTTTAAAAGGAACAAGATTCCAGGTTTAAATATGCCAACTTCAAGCTTTTTTACATCTATGTTTCAGTTACCAAATCCAATCAAAAAGGAACCTTGAGCTGCTGTAATTGCAGGTACTGTTGATCTTCAGGCTTTGTTTTCACAGTCTGCACTGGTTGGACACCTTGAAGTGTTTCATCATCATCAGTTTTAGGATCTGTAACCTTAAAGCCAAAAATGATCATGGCAACAGCTCAAGCAGAAGAGAGGATTTATAAGTCTTGGGGACAGAATGAGGAATAATTTGTCTCCTGTTAAACTAAAATGTTAAATTTAGGGAGTATCTAACAGAAAACAAGAAAATAAATGGTTGCAAGAGGAAAGGAAGCCAAGCTCCAATTAACAGTGGTGTGTAGGGAGTATTCCTTCTGCTTTCAAGAAGAGAGGCAAAGCAAATTGCAGGAAATATGCAGCACAGAAACCTACTTGGGACTCTCAACTGCCTGAGCTGCTCCATCTGTATGAGAGCAGTGATGCTCCTAATAACAGGAAAGCAACCAAACAATCATCATGGCCAAGCAATCAGCCAGAGACTGAGGGATCACACACACAAACACCCCCCAGACAGGTCCTGAGCCAGAGCCATGTGCAAAGAGAAGGTAAAACATAGTAATGGGGGGAGAAAAGCACAAGTAGCTGCAGAAATAGCCCATGGAGTGCACAGAGCCTGAGGAAACAGCTCACACACAAGGACATCATGTGGGCACAGGGAAGATATCCAGAGCAGAACAGCTGGAAATCCAATGGGAGCAATATTTGAGGGTGACTGTTGGCACTACAGGTTTCAAAGTTAAGCAATCCCCTTAAGAGATAGCAAGAAGGAAAGGATTGCATCAAATGTATTTTCCAGTTTGTAAAACCCAAGAGAAATCAATCATTTTTTTTTTTTTAGTCCTTTATCCTTGTGTTGTCCCAAACTCTTCCTAAGTGCCCTAGAAGGTGTGAGTTCAGTTCAGCAGTTGAGCAGGGTGAGTTGGGGACAAGTTCCCTCTGCAGTGACTCAAACAGCAGAACTTGCACTCAGAAGGTATTTGTGACCAAGAGAATGATGAACTGAAAATCCTCATGGTGTAATGCAGTGTGGAGCAAGTGTGAAACCCATTTTGAACCTCTCCCATTGGGGGTGGGAAATGAGGAATAAGAGGCAAAAGATAAGGAGGGTTTTTATTGTTGAGTTTTTGGGGTGACTTCGTTGCTCCAAAAGGCAATGGAGGATCTATGAGTGGTGACTAGAAGAGTTCACAACTTAAAAGTTAGCACAGATTTCCTGAACTGTGGAAAGACACAGCTCAGCAGTCAGTGAGATGTTTTTGGTGGAACCAAGTGCCTCAGTGCATTGCTAGTTCCCTAGGCAGGTAAAACATGCTTCTACATTATCTCTTTGAAAGAGGAACAGGACACAACCTCTGGCAGCATTTTTTGATTTTTTCTTTTTTTTTTTCTTTTTCTTTTTTTTTTTTTTTTTGTGGTGAACTCTTCTATTAATACCAATCAAATTGAGAAAATGATCAAATGAAATTGCATTTTGAGAATCATAAGCTGTGTAATGCCTATTCTGTTAAATTGAGGCCCATAATTGCTTCTCTACTGAAAAGACACAACAAAGACAGCAATCATGGCATGTCATTATCCCAGACTGGAAAACCAGCCTTTGCAGGGAGGACTTCAAAGGCTTGTGGTTCTCCAATTGCATTTGGCTGCTATTGTTGAAGCACAGGCAATCTTGATTAGGTGTTTACACTGAGGTAAGGCTCAGTGCACAGAGAGTCTGAGTGCCTTGGTCTAGAGCCATTAAAAAATTGTACATTATGTTCCTTGCTTTGAAGTAAGGGGCTTGTAGGTAGGAAAGCAACTCAGATTGAGTACAGCTGAGCTAGATTGGGCACTACTTCTCTCCCTTTCCCTCTCTCTCTCTCTCTCTCTCTCTCAAAGAAACTCATCATCAGGTTCTTTAAGTATCAGGCAACGCTGCAAAGAACTTGATGCTTTATCAAATGCTGTAGAAATTAGTAAATATACAGATCAACACACGTTTGGGGCATGTTTTGGTCCATCCAGGCTGGAGGTACAGAGATTTAGAGCTGTTAGCTCTAAATCTTACAAGAATGAGGCTGCAAATATTTGAACTAACGTTACACCAGCTGTATGCAAAGTCCTGACTTCAATGTCATCTCTGATTCATTACCACAGCACCTGAGAGTGATCACAGCAATAAAACAGCCTCAACAGCCTGCTGAGCTCAAAATAACCCAACTGAGGAAAACCAATGTTCAGAACAAGTTTGATTGCTCCAGCAGAGGACACGTGGCTTGTTTGCTTCTTCACATCCTAGATAGTTTTGCACTTTGGATAGTTTTCCAGGTGAGGTGACCAAAGTTGGCTCATGGACCAACAAGACGTTTCCCTTAGGCCTTTTTTCAGCCCTTGCAATGAGATGGAGCAATGGATATATTGATTAAGAACAAGTGCATCCACCTCTGCAACAAATCCAAAGCTTACTGAGAGCAGGTGGTGATGATGCTCATAAAATCCAAAACTGGTTTGGTTAGAAGGGACATTAAAGCTCATCCCATTCTACCTCCTGTCATGGCAGGGACACCTTCCACCAGAGGTTCTCCAGCCTTTGGAGCATCTCTGTGGCCTCCTCTGGACTATGCTTGGCCTTGTTGAGCTTCATGAGGTCCCATGTCTGAAGCCTGTCAAGATCCCAGTCTAAATTTGATACTGGCCATCAGTCAGCAGATGGAATCCTGCCCAGCACTTGTGTTTGAAGGCTCTAACTAATGATTGACTGCGAAATGTCAAACAACTTGTGTGAAGGATTGAGTGGAAATGCAATTACAGCTCCTAATGAACCATTATACATGAGTTGGTTGCTTTTACTTGCTGCTTAGTATGCATAATGGGAAGGTGGGAGTCATGGAATCACTCCAGGAGCTGCAGCAGGGAAAATTCTGAACTTGGAAAACTACAAGGACTTTGTGCTGGCATGGAATCACTCCAGGAGCTGCAGCAGAGAAAATTCTGAACTTGGAAAACTACAGGGACTTTGTGCTGCAAGGGACACTTCTCCTTGCCAGGGCTAATGACCAGTAGACACAACATCAGAGAGTGTATATTGACTACCTGACAGTGTCAGGGACCAGTGGACAAGCTTTTTTTTTTTCCAGCAGAGCTATTAAGAGCACTTGTTTTTCTTTTCCAGTTATAATTTAGATGATGGTAAAAATAATTAGTGTAGATTGATGCTAATTGAAGCCGTGTTGATCTGATTATATTTGCTATTCAGGGAGTTGTGAAAATATTTCCTTGCTGAGTGCTGGAGAGAGGGATCAGGACTTTGTGGGGTAGACAGTATTCAAAGGTATGAAAAAGGGGAAAAAACCATGTTCAAATCAGGGCTGTGAGGTCTCAGTTGCCTGACTGCAAATCTATTTATCTCCTCTGCAAACTGTTCAGGCAGCAACTGCATTTTAACACAGACAGAGCTCAGTTGATACCAGAGATATGAAGATGTTACCCACCTGCTCTTGAAGAACTTGTTGCTTTTTATTGTGTAACTCAAGGTAGGAATTTATCCTCTCTGAATTTAACCCTAAAGTCTGTTTATTTCTCTTCACAAAGTTCTTTTTTGCTCTTTGTGGTCTCTCTTGTTGACTCTGAACAGGCAAAGCACTTCCACTAGTCCCAGAACTACCTTTGGAACAGGAACCACTTACAGGTTCCTTCTTTTGGGCATGTTCAACAGGTTCATTGTTGACCAGGACATTTGGTTCATGGAAGCTGAATAATTCCACACTCAACTCTGAGAATGAATCTTGTGCTTTTGCCTCCTGTTGATCCTTTTCCTCTAGAGAGTCATTGCTATGGAGGTAAAATGAATTTTGTGGCAAGTCCAAACTGTTTCTTCCAGCACCTGGAGATGTTTTGTCTACCTCAGAAAATTCTTCTCCCTTTATTGTGTCCTTCCAGTTGGGATTGTATCTTAGGTTGGAATATTTGTCCACAGGCTGTTGCTTCCTATTGAAAGAAGATAACCCAAATTATTACTATAGAAATTGTGCATGTTCTATATAATTTCAGAGTACAATTGGAGCTAACAAATGTCCTGCAAAGTGTTTTAACAAACAGTAGAAAATTCAGGCAGGAGCTTCCTGTTAATTTTGAATTTTCCCCTCTTAGTGAATGAGAAATTAGTCTAACATTCAGATCACAGGAAAATATAATCTTTACCCTAGATAAGTCCTAGTAGGAACAGCTAAAAGATGAGGATATATTGACATATTGTGTTGTTTCTGTAGCCTACACAAGGCACTTTGTGCTGCTCCTTCTTCAAAGACTCTGCTGAGCAAAATACAAGTGATATTCCTGCTAAAATCACTCTCTCAAGTGTCCTTTTGAGTCAGCCTATTGCTCCATTTTTATTTTCTCTTCCCATCCCTACGAAACACTATGATGTGTCAATACAAAACCACCTCTAGAAAAGGCTAAGAGTAATTTTTCATCAAAAACAGGTTGTAGAAAACATATATGTGGGTTTGCCTAGTTTTTTTTTAAACAAGTGGCCAAATCATTGCTCTGAATTATGTTTGTCATGAAGCAAAGACAAATGTTTTGCCTTCTAAAAAAATCCACAATTGTTTGCGTTTAGGATTTCTGGTTTGATCCAACAGGAGGTAAATCAACTGCAGGAGCCAAACACTTTTAAATTGAGTTCCAGGAGATGTGCAGGCAGTGGCAGGAGTAAGAATGTGGGAGGAAAAAAAAAAAGTTTTTAACAGGGTTTTTTCTTTTCTGGACCTGCAGTACAGCCCTGATTCCTTGGGCACTGACATGAGGATATATTCCAAGCAGCTCCTGCTAACAAACTAATCTATTTTTCTAGCAATGCTTCTCATTTCAGGTGAGTATTGGTGCCATAGTATCCTAATACTAGAGATTAGATGATTTACACCACGAAAACATGATTATTCCCAGCTGTGATGCACCACAGGTAAGCCAAATAAAAAAAAAAAAAAAAAAAAAATGATGAGATGACCACGTTTTGAAGTGAGTACAGAAATATGTGATCTAATTGCAGTGATTCAAGTGCCAGAGGATAATACTAAGGACTTGTATTGTGCTGCAATGTGTGCACAGCAGCTCAGTTGTGTGGAGCAGCTCAGGTCACTGCCCAGGGACAAAACGAGTGTGAAGAGCTCCTTCAGCCCTAATCATCCCCAGATGAAAAAAAAAAAATAAAAATACACCTTTTATTCCTCCTCCTAACTCCATGGAAAGGTTAGCTGGACCCTGCACATCCCAGGAGTGTGGTGTGGAGACAACAGATGCAGCATTTCCTCTCCTGAGCTTAGTAATGGATGTAGAGAGGAGGTTTCATATGTATGTGCTGTGATATTTGCTCCAGTTAATGGACTGTGGTGAAGTACTTGCTGGGCTAAGTTCAAACCAAATAAAATCAAATTTCCATTTAATGAAGAGCCTCACATTCAGCACAGTATTCAGACACAAAAATGACTAAAAATTAGAGCACGTTGCCGGCACAATTAACATCATTTGCACTCACAATAAAATATTCAATAACTGCCCATTTTGCCTGTTGAGGAGGTGAATAAAAGCATGCTATTAATCATTTAGCCTTCATTTGTTTGTCATTTTATTTTTAAGGAGACAATTAAATGGAAACTGCACGTTATTATTACTTTAGGTTTCATTTAAGCCCTTTAAACTGGGGAATTATTCCCAATTTATACAGGTTTAAACCTTTCCTGCACATGACAGCAAACTAAGTTTTAGTTTATGTACCAAGTTAATCCTTTCTGTAGGATGTCTAAAGGTGACAACAACCATGTACATTTGTAGGTATATATAGCCATAAAGGACAAAACTACATTTATTTAAGCCATCAAATGTTGCCTGTTTGGTCACAGAATTGGCCTCAGTGCTCTGTAAGGAATGAGAAAAAGATGTGTCAGTACTGATTCCTGTTTTCTCTCTGGTCCTTACCTAGTTCAGGTCCATAAATTGAGCAGAGTTTGCCTCTGCAAGAAGTGACTGGAACCAGTGTGTGGAGAAACAGGATATCCTGAGTTGGAAGGGACCCACAAGGATCTCCAAGGTCAACTCCTGTCCCTGCACAGCTCCAATAATCCACCCTGTGCCTGAGAGTGTTGGCCAAACACTCCTGGAGCTCTGTCAGCCTTGGGGCTGTGCCCACTGCCCTGGGGAGCTGTTCAGTGCCCAAACACCTCTGGGGGAAGAACCTTGTCCTGCTATCCAACCTAAAGCTCCTCTGACACAGCTCCAATCATTCCTTCAGGTCCTATCAGCAGTCCCACAGAGCACAGATCAGTTCTGCCTCTCCTGAGGTCTTCCCTGTCTCCTCAGTTGGTCTTGTCATGTGTATTCTGAGGAACATCACGTTTCAAAGCATCAGAACTCTTCTCCTCTACTGAAGTCTACACCTTACCTTCCACCACCATGGTTCTTCTCTACTCCACACGTATTTGTGTCACACTCTGCTTCTTCTTCTTCTGTAAAGCTCCTTTCCTCCAAGCTATCTCCTTCCAAGCTGTCATCCTCCATCTCCTCAGAGCACAGCCCTAGCAGCTCCTCATTGTCCAGGATCTGCTGCTGCAGCCCCAGCTGGTACCTCATCTCCTCCTCAAGGCTGTCAGGCTCAGACCCCTGAGAGCTGGGCAGACTGGGGATAGAACTCCCTTCACTTACACAGGTCCTTTTCCAGCTCCCAGGCTGGAAATGTGCTGCTGTGAGGACTTTGGGAGGAACTTGGATTTTATGGATTTTGTAAGTGTGTGGAGAAGAAACTGAGGTGTATTTGATGTCTGAAGGATTCACTCCATGCACTGCAGAGATGGTTGTGCACTGACCCTGTGTGTGGGAAACAGAACAAACACTAAGAGATTGTTCAATTTAGCATAGTGATTATATTAAAACCTGGAATTGGGGTTAGTATCATTGGCTCAGGCTCAGATTTTGACCTTCTGTTGTTCAAACAATTCTATGTTCTCACCTTTCACACTGATTTTTTTTTTTAAGCAATGAATATTAAGGTTTCCATCCAGCACATGCAGCACTTACTGCTGTGAAATCCACCTTAAATTATTGGTGATAATCAATTATGTACAAACAGCTAAGGGAAAGGAAAAGAAGCTGAGACAAAGCAACAAAGACATTATCAGTTCACTTCTGAGACGTAAAAGGAATGTTGTATGTTCTCTTGATTCAACTTTATATCATCCTGATATATGAAATCAGCAAGGAAGTGTGACAGGGAACACAATGAAAATTACTGCAGCACTCTAAATTTGGATGAGGTTTTATATTTGATTGGATTGAGGTGTTCATAAGTCATTTGCACCAGCAGATAAAGTGTCTGGGAGGGAGGAAAAAAGAGTGTTTAGTACATTAGTCACAACACACCCATGGGACCAGTGTGGGTAAAGGTGCACAGGGAGTGTCACTTAGGACGTGGGTGATAAATAATTGCTAATTTTTCAGGGTTAACACTACTGGGCACGTGTGAATTCACCCTCCAGGAGGCCTGGGCAGACTCCTGTGCCCTCTGCTCCCATTGCTGATCACTTGCAGCCTGGAGAGGAAATCTCAGGAGGTGCAAGGAAGGTGGAAACTTGCTGGGAAGTGTGTGTCTGTGAGCAGCCCCTGGGCAACCCTTGTCCCAGGGACTGTCTCCAGCCTGAAGCAGGACCTCAGCCCCCTGAGGAAAGCCAGGACAGGTCTGTGACCCCAAATCCTCCCCTGTCCCCTCTCCTATGTCCACAGCCCTTGATCCCCTGTCCTCAGTCCCCTCTCCTGGTCCCCTTACTGCAATCCCATCTCCAATCTTCTCACCCTGGTACCCAGTGCCCTCTTCCTGTCTCCTCTCCCATGTCCCTTTACCATGGTCCCTTCTTCCCAGTCCCCTGTCCCAGATCCCCCATCCCTTCATTCCTGTCCCTGTTCCCCTGTCTCCTGTCCCTGGTCCTTTCACTCCAGTCCCCTTGCCTTTCCTGGTGCCCTATCCTCACCCCTATCCCTGTTCCATGTCCCTATCCCTGTCCCAGTCTCTATCCCTGTCCCTCCCCTATGTCCCTCTCCCTTTGGAATCTCTATCCTAGTCCCTCTCCCTGTCCTTATCCCCTCTATTCCTGTCCCAGTCTCTATCCTTGTCCCTCTCCCATGTCCCTGTCCCAATCTCTATCCCCTGTCCCTCTTTCTGTGCTTATCCCCTCTATCCCTGTCCCTATCCAAATGTGTCCCTCTGCCTGTCTCTATCCCAATCTCTATCCCATGTCCCTCTCCCTGTCCTTATCCCCTCCATCCCTGTCCCTATCTCTACCCCTGTCTCTATCCCTGAACCAATCTCAATCCCTGTCCCTCTGCCTGTCCCTAGCCCAATCTCTATCCCTGTCCCTATCTCTATCCCTGTTCCTCTGCCATGTCCCTATCCCAATCTCTATCCCATGTCCCTCTCCCTGTCCTTATGCCCTCTATCCCTGTCCCTATATCTACCCCATCCATCTCCCATATCCTTATCCCAATCTCTATCCCTGTCCTTATCCCCCCTATCCCTGTCCCTATCTCTATCCCTGTCCCTCTGCCATGTCCCTATCCCAATCTCTATCCCATGTCCTTATCCCTCCCCCCATCCCTGTCCCTATCTCTATCCCTCTCCCTCTGCCATGTCCCTATCCCTATCTCTATTCCATGTCCCTCTCCCTGTCCTTATCCCCTCTATCCCTGTCCCAATCTCAGTCCTTGTCCCTCTGCCTGTCCCTCTCCCATGTCCCTGTCCCTCTCCCTGTCCTTATCCCCTCTATCCCCATCCCAATCTCAATCCTTGTCCCTCTCCCATGTCTCTGTCCCAATCTCTATCCTTCTCCTGTGCCCCTATCCCTATCCCAATCTCTATACCATGTCCCTCTCCCTGTCCTTATCCCCTCTATCCCTGCCCCAATCTCAGTCCTTGTCCCTCTGCCTGTCCCTATCCCAATCTCTATCCCTGTCCCTCTCCCGTGTCCCTGTCCCTCTCCCATGTCCCCATCCCTCTCCCATGTCCCTGTCCCTCTCCCTGTCCTTATCCCCTCTATCCCCATCCTGATCTCAATCCTTGTCCCTCTCCCATGTCTCTGTCCCAATCTCTATCCTCCCGTGTCCCTGTCCCTATCCCAATCTCTATCCCTGTCCCTATCCCTATCCCAGTCTCTATCCCCCTCCCTATCCCTGTCCCGGTCTCTCCCCCTGTCCCTCTCCCGTGCCCCTATCCCAGTTTCTCTCCCTGTCCCTCTCCTGTGCCCCTATCCCAGTTTTTCGCCCCATCCCTCTCACCTCCATCCTCCGGTTCCCGCATCTCTCCCGTTGCCATAGCAACCTCGAGGACGCTGCACCTACCACTGCGGGAGCACAGGGGAGAGCAGAGTTCCCCCGCGGGCACAATGGTAGCGCCCGGGAGGTGCCAATTTCCACCTAATCATGGAATTATTTCCAATTTTAAGCGTTTTAACCCTGGCAAACCAAGGGTATCAATCCCATTCGGTACTCAAACCCAGTTTGCAGCATCTCTGGTGCTTCTAGTGAGAAATAACCATCTCGAATGACAACACACCTTTCTCTTGTCATGTAAATCTTTATTTTAGGGATTTGGGTTTATCCTTTTGCACTAGGAAAGGTTGCTGGTGGTGATGTGGCAAAGATCTGCAGGTGTAAAGTCCTGGTGAACCTCCCAGCTTGCCTGCAGGCAGGTAAGTGCCTTCATCCCTGGAGCTGGGGAGTCCCATGTGTCCCATCCTGCATCCTCTTCACCAACCCATTGCTTGAAGACTTCATAAAATCCTAGAATGGCTTGGGTTGGAAGGGACCTTAAAGGTCATCTACTTCACCCATCTTCTCTGCAACACCCCTGGAAGCTCAGGTGATGTGGGAGAGTCAAACAGAGCACCCAAATGTGCTCAGAGACCAGTGATGTGTTCATTGTACACATGAGGAACCAAGGGAAAAGTCCTAGCAAGGGGGAATAACCTTCTTTTATTGTCACTTTGGACACCAGGATGCTTTCCAGCTTGGTTAAATCCAGCTGCATGTCCAGGTTTGGGGTCAGAATGAGATCACACAAGCCACAGGTGGTTCACAGCACTTGGGATTTCCTTCTCATTCCTGTGGTCACAGAGGAGGTGGCTGAAGCAATCCATGAAATATCTTCATATCCCACAGTCTAATTGCATGTTCCCTTGCCAGGATCCTACTTACTGACAGGACCTGAGGTGGGATGAGCTCTATTTGTGGCAGTGGTTAATGAAATCCCCTGAGGATTACAGGTACATCAGGTGTCCATTGCTGACAGGTTTTTGGGAACACCAATCCCATCTACCTGTCCTGGTGGGAATCAAAGCAATCCCAGTTGGTTTTGGGGTTGAGAGCAGCTGTTGGTACTTCTACTCCCTGAAACCATATTGATACCTGAATGCTTTAGCACAAAGATCAGTGTTTCTGCACGTTGTTTCCCATTGCTATACATCAGTTTCCTTCCCACAGCCAAACACTTTCTCACTTGCTGCAATGCTTTTGTCACTTGGATTCTTCTGGGTGGTTTCCACATATCTTTCTGTTACATATTGCAGGTTGGACTTGTGATTGGCAACTGAAACACAAGCACACAGTTATTATTCATCACTAGTGTAGGGGTAGGAAAGCTGCAGCCTGCTCTGGCCTTGAACAGCAGCAAATGCTCCAACAGGAGTTAGATGATGTTGGTTAAAGCTTTTTACCATGTCCATTCTTTTCCTGGCCTGCATTGTCTTCATTAGATTTGGATTTATAGCTCTCCAGTGTCTGCTCTGAGGCATCATTTTCTGTGCAGAAAACAAGGGTAAGTGAGATTTTACCATGGCTTTTCTTCCCTCTGTGCCTTGAGCATAAAAATCCTGAGGGACTAGTCATAAAAAGGCTTAAAATAACAATCCCAAGGTTAGCACATTGCTTGGACAGGGCATCGGACTAGTCATAAAAAGGCTTAAAATAATAATCCCAAGGTTAGCACATTGCTTGAACAGGGCATGACCCACCTCTCTTCCACACTCCATGAGCTTTCTTCAGCTTCCTCATGAACAGCAGGATAATGATGAGCAGCACAAGGATCAGAGCAGCCACAAGCATTGGCAGCAAGAGATTCTTCTCCTTCTTTATGATGCCTTTGGATTTGGGATCTTGCTCTGTAACAGAGGCAGGTGGAGGTTTGTGTTGTTACATAGCTCCCTGTGAGTCTCTGCTCATTAAGATAAGAATGATATAACCTGACCCAGGCCTGATGAACAAGGTGGGAGAACACAATTCACCTTATTGGACTTAATTTTAGGATGTGAGGTCACATTTTTTTATTGCATGACCAAGAAAAACTGATTAAAATCAACAGATTTGGTCTCTGACACAACAAACAGTAAAACTGAGCTCCTATCTACATGGCACAAATGAGGATTACAAACCAGTATCACCCTGGAGTGCTGACCAAAGGTTTGGAGGGACATTTGTGGCCAGGCAACCCCAGTTTGGTGCCACAAAGCTCAGTGCATGTGTGGAAACTCATTAAAGAGTTCATACCAATGGAAATCACAGTCACATTTCCCTGTGGTTGTGAGGTTTCTGTGCTGGGAAGTTCCTCTTCTGTGGCATTGCCAGGGAATGCTGGTTCAGTCCCTGGAGGAATGGAAAGGAGAGCAGTATTACTCTGAAGGCAAAGGGATGCTTAAAAATGCATATTTTCCCAGCACCTGACTTAGAGCTCTGCACTCACTTCCCTCACCCTGTGTTTTGTTTTAACCTGAAAATCACCTAAACCTCATGAACAGAAATCCTCAGTCTCTCCAACAAATTGCCTAAACCTCATGAACAGAAATCCTCAGAGTCTCCAACAAATTATTGAAGTCAATGTGTCCCATTTACAGCCAAATTAAACCAAAGCTGAGCTTTGGGGGAGTCATTTTGGAGCTTTCCCTCTCTGTCAGTTTGCTGCTCTGGCTTGAAACACCAGGAATGAACATATATCCTCCTCTGTAAAGCAGATACTTTGGTATTCATATCCCTGACTACTCCTTTCCCATCCTCACAGCCCCAAGGGATGTAGTCACCCAGTGTGACAATCCCTGTCCTTTGCCACAATCCTCTATGGCTGATGATATCAATTCTTACCAATGGGCTCATCATAACTCCATGAACTTCCCAATTCTTCCTTTCCTGCTGCAGTTGATGTTATTCCAGACCCTGTGCAGAGAGAGAGGTGAGCTCTGACTTCCTTACTCACACAGACAGTACTTCCTTGTATAATCACAGAGTCATAGGATGGGTTGGGTTGGAAGGGACCTTAAAGATCATCTAATTCCAACCTCCCTGCCATGGACAGGGACACCTTCCACTGGCCCAGGTTGCTCCAAGCCCCATCCAACCTGGCCTTGAACACTTCCAGGGATGGAGCAACCACAGCTTCTCTGGGCAACCTGTGCCAGTGCCTCAGCACCTCACAGGGAAGAATTTCTTCCCAATATCCAATCTAAACCCACTTTCAGTTCCTTAATGAACATTGGTTTGTGAAGCTAAAAAGATGATTTGTGTTGTGTCTACCAGAACTTTGCATTCATAAGAGGTTTTCCTCCTTATTAGAAAAAGATGATTTGTGTTGTGTCTACCAAAACTTTGCATTTTCTCCTTATCATGTGTGTGTGAAAGTCACAGAATCCCAGGATGGTTTGGGTTGGAAAGGACCTTACAGATCATCTTACTCCAACCCCTCTTACAAGATTCAGGCTCCTTTTCCATGTATGTTTATCCACATATGGATGAATCCTTTATGGTGTATAGCCATTCTGGGATGTTTCTAAACACTGATGTATCACCAAATATAAACAAAGAGTTTGTGAACTTTGAAAGCAGCAATTGATTTTCCACTGCAGGACCTCCCATGCAAACACTTCGGTGGGTTTTGGCCAACCTATTTGGGCAGTGGAGCTCTGGATTCTGCTGGAAACAGCTCAGTTCAGTGACTGGAGCCTGGTCCATGCACAGATTAAGTGTTGTTGCACAGTGCCATCTAGTGCAGTCCATCCAGAGCATCCCAGCCTGACTCCCACCAGACTGGGATGTCCTTCTGCATCTAAGGAGTGAGACTTTGTTAGGGAACAAGCAAGGAATGCTGTGGTTTGTGCTCCACACTCTGTACCATGGGGTGTCATTCTGTTCTCAGGAGCATTTCTGCACTAGTTTGGTAAATTCATGGGACTAAGACCAAACTTACAACTGGATGTGACATCTGGGGTGAAGCTGAAGTTCTGCTGGGTTGGTGTTGGCACTGAGGTGGTAAGTGCTGGTTCCTCTGCAGGAGGGATGGTCCCTGCTGGTTCCTCAGCTGTTGCAGAAGGGCTGGTTGGTTGTTTGGATCCTAAAGGAAAGCCCCCAAACATGATAAAAATCAGAAGACACTTTGCCACTTGAACTGGTCCTTAAAAATCTAAACCTGCCCTGTTTGCTCCATGCTCTGGACTGTTTGGGTGCTCTGTGGTCAGGGGTTATCCTTACAGTCCTACCCTCCCACCCTCAGTTCCCCTTGCTCTCTGACCATATATGATGCTATGAAATGAGGAATAAAATGAAAGTGGGTAGGCTGGAGCAGAGACTGTGCTGCTCTTCAGCTCTGACACTGAGGAAGAAATCCAACCTCTTTTTGCCCCATGCAGCCTTCTCATTTAAAAACAGATTCCACACATAGGACAGCAAACTCTGGGCTTCATCTTTCCATGTGTATCTGCACAACCTTCAGCACCTCAGAGCAGCAAACTGGGCTAGGCAGTGCTGGAGGAGCCTGAAGTACCTGTGCTGGGGAGGTCCTCAAACTGGAAAGATGCCACCAACTTCTCTTCTCTCAGTGCTGGGTGGTGAATGATGCAGCTGGCTGTGGCCTTGGGTCTGTAGGCAAGGACTGTCAGTGTGCTGGTTGTGCTCCATTTCTTCCCATCAGCTTCTAACTTGTGCCTGGTGTCACCTACACACCCATTGGAAGAGAACATTGAAGTGCTTTCCAGTCAAGAGAAATTTAAAGAACATCCTGGCAGGGCAGTGTGCATTGCTGTGCTGGCTAAAGCAGCTTCTCAGCACTGTGCACGTGATGCTCACAGGAGCAGCAAGGTCAGGTTTTTTCCTCTCACTGTTTTTGTCCAGACCTCACTGCACCTCCTGTGCTCAACCCAAGGGTCTTATTCCAGATGGAATGAGTTGAGTTGCTTTGCTGTGTGGAGAGTCTCAAGGCAAGGGTGGCAGGGGATGGTGCCCAGTGACAGCACAAAAGGAGTCATGGCCAGAAACTAAACCACAACAAATTCCACCTCAACATGAGGAAGAACTTCTTTCCATGGAGGTGGCAGAGCACCCAGGCAGGGCATGGAATTCTCTCTTTGGAGATATTTCCAAACCCACTTGGATGTGTTCCTGTGTCACCTGTGATCCTGCCTTGGCAGGGAGCTGGACAGAATTATCTCCAGAGGTCCTTTCCAACCCCAACCATCTCTCATTCTGTGCCCTACTCTGCAGCACAACTGAGATCTAGAAAACTCCCAATTCTACTATGTGACATCCAAGAGCATTGAATTCTTGTCTTAAGAGCTGTGGATTTGTTACCCCAAACAGACAAAGAAGATTTTTATGCAACATTTGTGCTTCTTGATAAATCTACACAATAAATATTGACGTGCAATAGTTAGATAGGTACAAAATAAGAATGTTACATGATTCCCAATCCCAGGCAGAGTCACTGCAATGGGTTAGGGAGAGCCATGTAACCTGTCTGATGGAGCTCCTAGTCCTCCAGGCAATACTGACTGTGTTTATATGATAAAGAAGCATAAAGATGTATTTCATGTGCCACAGAGATGTGTTTGAATAGAGGGAAGGTTTTCAGATGTTTAACTCCAGGGCCCATGGTAGCACAATAATCTCTACTGTCTGTTTATAACATAGAGGTTCTGATGTTTTCCCTTAATCTGTTTCCCTTAAATGAAAAAAATTCCTTGTTTTCAAATTAGCTTTTGCAGATAACTCACTGTATCACACAGACCAGTATTTCTCAGCTCTCTTTTCCATCCCCAGCAGGGTCATGGAAGAGCTCAGAGGCATTTCAGAGTGGTTTTCTAGGGAGGAAATAATCTTTGTCAGCAGCAGCTCAGTAATTACAGTTGGTTTACCCCTGCTGAGCCCTGGTGGAACTGAGGTGCTGCTGGTAATTAAGATTTATTAGCTATTTTCTGATTAGTATAAATATTTGCAGTAAGTGATTAGAGCTGAGAATGGAAGGGGAGGAGGGAGAGGCCTTAGAAAAGGAAAGGCACATGCAGAAAGTTTGAGAAACAGTGAATTTGGGCAAGGAGTTTTTTTTCCTTTCAAGCAATTTCATTGGTGTTTGCCATAATAAGGACACATCAGCACCTCTTCCTGCTAACAAGGCACAGGTGGAACCAACTCAACAGGCACAGCACAGACCTCGTGGTGCTTAGCTGGGAGGTGGTAGAGCTTGCTCTGATGATTCTGCTCCAAAGGTAAGGAGAAATTAAATTTAAGGATAGATTTTTGTGAAGCTAAATGAAGAAATGCACGTTTGGCTTTATGGAGGTGTTTAGTGTCTGAGTTGTGTCTTGTGATGTTGCAAAGAATTCACTTTATCAGGCCAGAACTGTAGCTGGCTCAGGTTTGAGGAAACCTTTGGGTTTAGAACACTGGGGAGAAGGTGTGGAAAGACTTAGAGGTGATGTATTTATTGCTCTTCCTAATTTCACAGCTGCTATTCTCCAAGCCCTTCCAAACAGCTCAGATCATCCCAAACACAAGCAGCACTTTAGAACCAAGACCCAAACACTCTAACCATAAGGTGTTTTCCAGAGCATCTTATTTGCATTAAGACCTGTGTATTAATCCCTAGAGTTTCTACAATTCATTTTTGATTCCTATCTATATTCAGGCCAGAAAACACACTTCTCTCTGTGGTTTTCTAGAGCTTTTAGCTTAAAAAACCATCTTGAGGACAGGAGGAGTTTACAGGCTGAGCTTTGAATCTGGTGCTTGATGATGCAAAATACAAACAAGAGCTTGTGAATGCATGAAAAAAGATAGATTTGCATCTCTGGGTGTTTTCCTCACCCTTTGCTCCAGATGTGCACTGCAGCTCCTGAGGGAGTTATTATTAGAGCAGAACTATTTATAGTCCTTGGAGAATAGCAGCTGTTTATACAGGATCCAAGTGAAATGAGAAGAGAAGCTGCTGCTGTGTCTGAGCTACTCAGCAAAGATGAAAAGAATCTGCAAACTGGTTACAACCCAAAAATGGTTATAATGGATTTGTTAGCAGACTTTGTGCTTGGGCTTGGAAAATGATATCTCCAGGGATTTGGATTCATGTCATCCCAGTGGAATTTCACTCCAGACTTTCAAGGGATTTTGGTGCCAAGTGTTGCTGAATGTGAGTGAAGCAGATGAACCTTTGCCTTGCCCACACACTGGAATTTAGTGCTGACTCTTCAAACCTGCACCAGGTTGTACTGAGTAGGGATGAGTGGTGGTCCCAGCTGGATGTGTAGCAGAAGGTGTTTCACCCTCCAGTACTTTTCAACTGCCCAAGGCTGCTAAAAAGAGATTTTTTAGTGATCAACCCCAGGTGCTTGAACACTTACCTGGGAGCTCTATCCCATTGTCCAACAGCCAGGTGATGTGGGGCTGGGGTCTGCATCCTTGGGTGTAGCAAGACAGTGTAATGCCTCTTTGGGTGTCTTGGGATACTTTCAGGACTGGATTAGAAGGAGCAGCTGCAGCAATAAAGTTTAGAATTAGTTCTAGTGCATCTTTCTACTTGGTAGAAACTTTTTGCTGCACACAGAGCATTGTTGGGGGGATTGAGCCAAGAGCAGGATCAGGTCATGTTAAACACAATAAAATTCCATGTAAAACTGCAGGGTTGGAGTTAGGAGCTGGCTCTGTTGTCCTGCTCCTTTGGGATGAAGCAGTGAAGGAACTTACCAAATATCTGAACAGTCTGGGTCTTGCTTTTGAACTGTTTGCTGTATTGGAAGCATTTGTATTGGCCTTCGTCGTGCACTGTGAGGTTGGACAGCTGGATGGATAGTTCATCCTTGGAATAATGGATCAGTTTGTACCTCTGGTCTCTTAACAGAAAACAAAGCCCAGCATGCCATGTGTGTTGTGGTACATGAGAGGAAAGCAGATAAGCAAAGAGGGAATGAACGAAGATAGTTTTGATTACGACATTTAAATTCATCCACACATGATGTGAGGGAGAAGTTTGCAATGAAACCATTTCCTAGCACATCTGTGCTTTGCACATTCCCCTTTCTCAGCCTTCCAGTCTTTAGGTCATTCCTCCTGCTGGATGACCCATAGGACCCCCAGGGTCAGGCCAACAAGTCCATAAACTTCCCACAACTGCAGCACAGAAAGTGGAACTTCTTTCCCTTAAAGTGAACTGAAACTGGGACTGTGCACAGTCAGAGAGACCTCAAAATCTCTTTTTTATCTTTTTAATAGGCTTTGTTTTTAGCTGAGGTCTTGCCAAAATACAGAGCTGAGAGAAAGTCACCATAATCTATGGGAATTATTAGCTCTGAAAGGGTTTTGAGGTCACCACGATGTGAGACTTGTTGCTTGTTGTATTTGGAGCTGCAAAAAGATTGGAGGGAACTGATTCACAAAGGGGTTTGTTTACTGGAGAAGGCACATGACAAAGGTTCCCAGTAGTGACTCAGAATAAAAGCTGAAAATCTCCATGGTCAGTGTGAGGTTTGATTTCTCCCTAAACAAGGACTGTTTACTTTGTATGGCAAAAGAAAAAATATTTAGTGGGTCTGATTTATCCAGGACCCAAATGCTTTGCAAACTCTAGTCCTTGTGGGTGTTGTTTCATGTGTTTTGTTGAAGGGTAATCATGAGATGTTGAAACTATAGGTGGAATCTTCAGGTGATTTAAGATAGATTTTGCTCACTCAGGTTGGAATTTGCTCCT